AAATATGATGTATTAAGAACTATGTAATGTTTTGAACGACCAACAATAAAAAAAATAAAATAATGCACTGTAATATTTGTCAACAAATTGGGTGGTCACTTTTTTAATTTATTTTTTTAAAAAAATAAATGACAGTGAAATGCTTTACAATTCTTATTATACATCATTTTAAACACAGGTTACATATAAAAATATTAGCAAAATCTTGTCCTCAAAGAAATACTCTTCTAGGTGGCTTAGTCTGAGTTCTGGGCCCCAAAGGGGTAATTTTCAAAGCAGAAGTTCCTTAACTTGAGCAAGCAGGATTATGCTTGCATGACTGCCTGTAAGGCAGGTGTTTCTCAACATTCTGACTTGCAATTCTCTTGCCTATGGCTACCCACAAACAGAAGCTCATTTTCAGTAAATACCATCCCTGAACCCAGATTACACATGCTTCCCAGTCCACTATGCACATTTCACCAAGGTGTCAATTATGACACCAAAAAAGTTAAATAGACAGAAGTACATCCTTGTATCTGATATGGAAGGCTGACTGCTTTATGAAAAATTGAGGGATCAGAAGGAGAGAAGCTATAAAACATGGTTACCAAGAAAACTGAAATTTTAGTTACTACTATTATTAAAGCAAAAAAAAAGTGCTGGAAAATAAATCAGTAGTTGTTGAAAAATAGTATGACTGTGTTACATTGAATTGTCAGGATCTTCTTTACCCTCTATAAAAACCTTGAGTACTAAATCAAACAACTCAACCATTTAAATAAAGCACTTAGTGATTTACTTACTTCTAAACAAGAATCCCAAATCCACTGTGATATGCAGCTTTCCCACAGTGGGATTACTTACCTTTTGCTGCCATTTCTCTTTTCTTTTGTCTTCTGTATCCTGTAGCATTTTTTCTTTCCATAGGTCAAAGAAATAGGAAGGATCAGTATAGAACTTCAACCCATCCTTCTTATCATCTCTACGAATCAAGGTATTATAAGTAAGGGGAAAAAGATTATTAGATACTTTCATATTCATGTTAATGTGAATTTAATTTTAACTCATGGCATTGTAACATTTGCAGAGGACATCTTAACTATCCTATACTTTATTAATTCTCTAAATTTCCTCTTGAAAAAATGTGGAAAAATGTACAAACAGCAACTTGTTCCAGAATAACAAAAGTATTCTTGCACACTAAGAATTAAGAATAGAAAGTTGCTCTGTAAAAATCACAATGAAGCTCATGAATACTGAATGTTAATATTTCAGGAAATATTTTGTTTATTCCAACAAGGAGGTATACACAGGGATGAATGGACTCTTATACAGATACATTTACTTCTACTCTGAGCTTCAATATTATTAGAATAAAAACTATAAAGTGCTGTCTCTTGTTCTCAACCAGGTTGCCCATTATCTGTAAATTCAATCAGCAAAGAAAATTGGGATATAACTGTAACTAGGAAAAAAAGCAATAAACTAGATATTTTCAAAGCAAGTTCATTCACTCGTGGTCATTTTAGTGTCAAGTACTTCTTCAAATACTGTGGTCTTAGGAATATTTCAAAGGCCTCATAAAAAATTACTCACTTATCATGCAACCAAGAACAATGTAGCCAATATGAATCCAAAGTATAATATAAATCAATAGGAATGTTCAAAAAAAATCATGATGCAAAGTAAACTGTCTATAATACTAACGTTTTTAAAAAGCATGTGGCCTGTAGACTTCCCAAGAGGAAGCAGTACATTCATACTTCATACTAATATTTCAGTAAGTCATTTAGGGTACTGAGATGCAAAATCAGTTAAATGAGTATAGACAGGAAAGAGCTTATGCCCAAGAAAAGAAAGCTAACACAGGAAGAAAAAATGGAAAAAGTCTATTCTTAAACTTTCTGCTACATCATCTCTTGCAGGCTTCTCACTATAAAATGCTAAGGCCCATATTCCTACCATGGCTATTCTAGTCACTGTGTCTGAAGATCACTAACAAACCAGTGCAACTCTTTCTATATATACTTTAACCTTGGGTTATTTAACACCCTTCCTTTCTTCTAGTTTCCCAATTTGTAAGCAGCTTGCATGACAGAGATTTTATTAGTAACATAATTGTGAAAAAGCAAATTTGGTTCCCTAAGACACTAAGGCCTTGAATATAGAATTATAGGAAAACTGCGGAACTTGCTGAAAAGTTAAAGATGTCTAAAATGCACATTCTTGCTTTTAAAAGTGCAGTTAATACTCTAATGAAGATAGAAGCTCAATGAAGTAAACAAATGCTAATCCTGATTTAAGACTAAAAGCAGATATGTCTAATGTTTATCATCATCTAACCACTTTTCATCATGTCACAGTGACACATTTAATTCAAATGCATAATTTTATGTTTTATGTATCTCAATTATTGTTTTATGAATGAAAAGTAGATTTGGGCTGCCACTGCTAATCTTAAAACACATTATTAAAAAACCAAAGACATGCTTTATTTTCCAAAAGACTGAATATGTACACATTATATATATATTATGTACATTATAATAATATATAAAATCATTTTATGCAATTAAAATTTAAATCACTACAAATATTTAATCATGATCTTGATTAGTCAAATACATGTGGTTCACTGGATATTCTGGATTATTTCCTTTAACACAGAATTTTTAGTGAGCTTCCTTAATAATATCAGGTAGGAGAATTCTAATAAGCAATCTCTCACACTACACTGTTTATAGTGCAGCTGCCAGTGCTAAATAAAACTGAAATTGTCCTGGAAAAACATTTATCAAATGAAAGCAGGCACAAGGGGCTGGGGTTATAGCTCAGTGGAAGAGGACTTGCCTAGCATGTGTGAGGCACTGGGTTTGATACTTAGCACCACATAAAAATAAACAAAGGCATTCTGCCCATCTTAACTACAAAAAATAATTTAAAAAAATGAAATCAGTGACAAAAATACTGGGTGTGATGGTTTAGATATCAGGTGTCCCCAAAAAGCTCATGTGTGAAACAATGCAAGAATGTTTAGGATTATGGGAGACATAACCTAATCATGGATTAATCCATTGGCATGAATTAACTAGGCAGTAACTATAGGCAAGTATGTGACTAGAAGACGTAGGTCACTGAAAGTGTACCTTTGGGGTTTATATTTTGTCCTTGGTGAGTTCAGTTCTCTCTCTTTCCTGGTTTGCATGTCCCTCCACCATGCCATTATGCCATGATGTTCTGCTTCATCTTGGGCCCAGAGCTATGCAAATGGCTGACCATGGATTAAACCTCAGAAACCATGAGCCAAAGTAAACGTTTCCTCCACTTAAGTTTTTCCTGTCCAGTCTTTTGGTCACAGGAATGCAAAAGTTGACCACTACACCAGGATTACCATGCTTTTATTCATATGTATCATATATTTTTAAAATTTGTGCCCTATAACCTCCAGCAAGCACACTTGTTCCATTTTTATACAAATTTCTTAGGGAGGAATCCTGCTCATCTCCCATCAGTTTATAGGGAGCTCTTACATTTGTTTTGAGAGAATCTTTTCTGTCCATGCAGGAAAAAAGGGACTCAGTTTCAACTGCCCTATCCTGATAGAGCTGTAATAAAAGATATCTCCAAGCCTTGTTGATCCCAGAAAGGATGGAAAATGAGACTCGGGAAACTCTAAGCTCTCCCTGAGGAGGGCCCTGCAGGCAGGAATGTCAAGGCAGTGACACATACAAAGAACACACAGTATTCTCCAAGGCCCTTGTGGGAGCATCAGCTACCAGCATTGACTCTAGGGCCACTGATTTCCACAATCTGTGCTGGGCAGAGGTGAAATAAGTGGCCTCCAAAGAGGAGAGTGTTGTAGTTTGAACCCAGAATGTCCCCCAGTGTCTTGTGTTTCCAATATAGCAGTATTCAGAGGTGGGGTTTTTGAGAAGTGACTGGATCATGAGGGGTCTGATCACATAGGTGCACTAATCCACTGATGGTTAAATGAACTTTTGGGAGGTGGTACCTAGTTGGAGGAAGCAGGTCATTATGGGTGTGCCTTAAAAGGTTTTGTCTTCCCCCCAGTCCCTTCCTTTCTCTCTTTGCTTCCTGGTATCCATGAACTGAGCAGCATTCCTTGGCCATGCTCATCCACCACAATCCTCTGCCTCACTTCAGGTCCAACGAAATGGAAGGCTGATCATGGACTCAAACCTCTGAAGTAAATCTTTCCTCCTCCAACTTGTTCTTATCAAGTATTTTGGTCACTACAACAAAAAGCTGACTAACGCAGGGAACAAAGATGGATAGAGGAAGAAGCCTTTAAAATTTTTCTGTCCTTTTTCTTAGAAATTTGGTCCTTATATTGTATTTTACCATTTTAACAATAACAGAAAGTTAATTTTGTGACTCTATTTTCACCCTTAAAATCCCCTAACACTGTAGAATACACTTTTCTGAATTAATAATAAATGTCTCTGCAGTGCTAAAGCGCTGAGACAGATATTTTGCTGCATTATAAATAAACTGTGCTGCTGCTTTTGAAGTGGCTTTGAAAATATGTAACAACAAGATAATCACACATAAAGCCATTATATAAAATGCCCACTTCCACTTAAAAGATCCAAGTCAAAGAGTTAAAATCAGAGTTCAAACTTCTCCTGGTAAGTGATATGTATCCTGAAATACCAGAACTTTAGTAATCCAGCACCAGGGACTAATTTCAAAAGCATTATTGTTTTGAAAGTTTGAAAGAATTCTTTTAACCCAAATGAGCTATCCAGGATACATCCAGTACATAAGTGTGTTTCCAACACTGTCTAACTCTCCATCCACAATGACTAAAAACACGTTGAGGATGTGGGAAGCCATACCTGTAAGGTGTCAGGATGTTCAGAGGTGGAGGTTTATCACTCTGGTTGTAAATGTCAGCAACAGGATTAGGAATGCTGTTCTTTGAAACCACCTGCTGATCTTGAACTGTAGAACTTTTGAAAGCTTTTTTCATGTTGATGTCCTGTAGTGACACTGTTTAGAGAAAAGTCCTTCAAATTAAATTATATACGGATATATATATACAATATATACGATTATATAGAATTTTTAACCATTTAGGAATAAGTATCAATTGACCCACTATAGTAAACATCTCCTGCAGTAACCAAATGATGGTTTTTTAAATTGTTCATTTAAAACCATGCTTAAAGAAAATGACCGTCCCTCCTCGCTTAGAGGTAACAGTTTTCTCTAAAATATGGTAAAAGTATGGCTTTTCTTCCTCTGTAGAGATCAAATTTTTCACTGGACCTAAGTAGTAGAGCTTCAGATTCTTTAAACAGTCCTTCTCAGAAACCACATGGGAATATAGTTATGAGTATAAAAGGCATGTAAATACATAGATTTCGGCATCCTAGGGAAAACCTCAGTTAATAGTAGTTTAGTATAATACCTTATACTTGTGCAAAAATCGCACAAATGTAAATAACACATTAAGCTTTTACAACACTGACATTAAGGAAAGACAACAAAAGTTTCTTAACATAAAGTCCTAGAAACTGAGTAGCTTGACTTATGAAACAAAAACTATACAAAGGAGTCAAAATATCAGTGCTAGATATATTTCTTTCTTGTGTCTGTACAGCATTTACATTTTATTTGTTCACTCATCTGACCTTGATATAAACTTTTTGTGGAGAGTACACTGGTCCTATTAACCCACCAGCTTGGCCACTGAAACTAATTCAGGTTGTTATGTGACACAACATCTTCCAGCCTTCACCCCCGAGAAAAAAAAAAAAGGTGAGCTATATTTCCTATATTTCAGTCAAATATCTCTTCCACTCTCATATCCATATCAAGGAAAATAATAAGGTAAAATATTAATTGAAAAGGGATTGTAAAGACATGACACATACTATAAAATGTCATAAAATTTCATAAAGTTTATCATAAAGTTTATCATAAACATTTCAATTCAAAAAGCCAACATAAAAATCTAATAAAGTTGAATATTAAAAATCACCTGTGCTGGGCTGGAGCTAAATTAAAAAAAAACAATCACCTGTGCTATCAATTTTAAAACTGAATAATAGATTTAAGATGTTATGAATTCCTTAACTCAACTGACAAAATTGCCATTTAAATTTTTATTTTTATTTTTTTAATATTTTTTATTAGTTGTTGATAGACCTTTATTTTGTTTACTTATTTATATGAGGTGCTGAGAATCGAACTCAGTGCCTCACACATTCTAGGCAAGCACTCTACCACTGAGCCATAACCCCAGCCCTAATTTTTTATTTTCAACTAGAAAATAAAATTCAAAACTCTGATTTAAAAGAGCATGTTTTTAGCTTCCTATTGTTGGAAAAGTCAGAACATTCATAATTGATATTGATACTAATTTAATTTTACCCTTGAGCATGAACAAATATACTTTTTAAAATAATGAGGGATAAATTTCACAAATAAACTATGTTTTTTTTAATTTACAGCTTATTTTTATTGTTACTACTATAAATAGGTATAATACAAAAATCAAATGCTGGGATCATTTTAAAATAATGAGAGAAATTCTAAAATAATTTAGAAATTCTAAAAATAATTTGTAACTTGAATGTTTTTCTCAAAACAAATATGAATGGTGTATCTTACAATTTTTTAGCAAATTTATTCCAGTCTAATCTCAGTCTTTCATTCAAAAAATACTGAAAATGAAATTTTTAAAATGGAATTACTGATGGTCTAAATTTTATTTCAACTGCCACAATTTTAGGAAATATAATCAAAATGAAATATAATCACAATCATTTTCAGTTAACTTACATAGTGTTTGGTTAATGTTATTTTAAAACCTGAGCTTAAAGGCCTTTGGTAACTGCTATTTCTGAGATTAATAACATTTTTTAAATTGGCAGAATCACCAAGATTATTCATAAGCATCAACCATAACAATTAGGCTAAAGGTTTTGCTCTTTGGCATGATACACCTATGACCCTCCCTCTTGGTTGGACTATCTCTTTGGATGGTTCTGTTTTAGGCAAGAATATATTTTCAAAATAACTACCATTAACCTATATTAGGACTTCTACTACTGAATATATTTGAAGAACCCTTTATATATATAAAATAACAAATGCATGGTGTATGAGATAAACAAGATATGAATCTTTTCATCACTAATTAACCCAATGTTGTAGGGTTTTCCTCACTATTCTTCTAGGAAACGATGAGATGAAATGTCAACATGCTACCTCAAGGAAAAAGCAGTAATTACACTGCAATTAATTACTACCATCTTGTCAACATCACTTCTAGCTCACTGCTTTCATGCAATTATTTACCCTCTTTGACTGTGGAATCCAGTTGGGTAACTTTGACAGCAAGGCGATCAATTCTGTCTTGAAGAGAATTTGCTCTGATGTAGAAGTTGTTAGCCTCATTAAACAACTCACCAAATATGTCTTCAGCATGTTTGCCTGTAGAGGAGAAGAAACGGAGAAAGCCATCTGCTAAGGAGCTGTTGAGCTGCCCCCGCACAGCCACACCAGTGCTAATTAGTGTCAACACCCAGGGTCCTGTGCAAATGAGTGTAAAAATGAAGTATCACAGTCCACGGCCTTAGAACTTTTGGAATTTATTAGATATTTATATAATTGAAAAGTTGATGAAAAGTGGCAGAATTCTAAAATAGATAATACAGATTCTTCATCACTGCCTGAGTGATCACTCAAGTTGTGTCCTGCTAAATGTGACTTCTTTAAGGAAGAAAAAAATTCTCATTTAGTATGTTTTAAGTATAAATACAATTTCAGGATCTAAACTTCCCTTTTACCCCTCAAAATAATTCAATAAATCATATTTGACCTTAAATTTACCTCATTCACAATGAGAATCATTAGATATTTGATCCTGTTGTATTTAGATGGACACAATGCCTTTATCTTATTTTTTATGTGGTGCTTGCTGGGACCAAACTCAGTGCCTCTCACATGCTAGGCAGTGTTGCACTACTAAGCTATAACCCCAGCCCTGGTTGGCTCTTT